CCTCTCTTGACCCTTGAACGCCAGCGTTGAGTAGCATGTCCTGGGTGGGCGCATGCTCGACGTCCAGAGCACCAAAGTCGATGGTGATCGGCGCTCGACAATACGGGCAACGGCCGTTCAAGCGCGCAATTCGGATCGAACACTCGGAGCATAGCCAGTGGCGGCATGTCAACTGGACAGACACATCCCTGAAGTAGGACAGAGCAGACACAGACATTGGTTTTTTGTTTTGGGGGATGCGCGCGGAACACCAAACACGAAGCAAGCATGTGAGTCAGTCAGGCACCAGGTCGCCGAATCAAGAACAGCAAGCAAGAACTACGAGCCAACGGAAGCAACACAGCAGCAAGTGAGCGGGTAGGCCTGGCGAACGTGTTCGTCTCGCAGCTGCCAACTGTACATCTTTCACACAAAGTACAATCGCCATTACTGAACATGCAACACATACCTATCACAGCAGATGTGGCACAAGGAGTCGCTTTCCCCATCATCACCCCCCTGTCCACCTTCCGTGGAGAGGGTGGTGGTTGTTGTGTCTGTGCTGTTCGTGGTTGAGACAGGAACTTCAATGGGAGGGGCCGATGGAATGGGGTGCGTTGGGACGGGAGCAGGTGGGGGCTGCAGTGGTCGCGGTGAGTCCAGAATGAAGCTCGAGGGAAAGCTGGTGATGCTGATGGTACTGATCGGGCCAGGGCTGGAGTTGTTGCTGCTGGCGGCGGAATCGCTCGCATCACTGTCTGAGTCGTTGGTGATGCGCCCGCGACCGTTGTTGCGGGTCCATATCAGGAGGGGCTCGACCAAGGTCGAGGGAGGGTCATGTGGATTGGTAGGATTGGTGGTGGTGATCCTTGTTCTGGATGTACGCCCTCCTGGTCCTGTCCCTGGGTGCTGGTTGATATGGTTGTGAGGAACGCCAGTGGGTGGCGGAATCGTGTTTTGGCTGTCATCGCCGCCGTTCTGGTGCTCCTCGTTCATGCCACTATTGTCGCTGGGGCTGGGGTCCGTGGTCGACGACCCAGTGTGATCGGTACCGATGCGTCGCACGCGGCGGGGGTGGTCCCCTTCTGGTCGCCCGGTTGTGGTGTGCTCTCGTCCACCTTCACGTGGCTGTGGCTGTGGCTGTGGTTGTGGTTGTGGTTCCTGCTGCTGCTGCTGCTGCGACTGCTCGTGTTGCAAGGTGCATGACGCAAGCACAAGCACAACCAAGAACAAGGCACAGCTTGCCAGGCGCAAGGCTGCGATGATGCTCAGGTTTGTCGTCGCTGGATCACACACGCCGTCCACGACACGCGTGTACTGCTCCCAGAAGGCCGAACAGTCAATTCTGCCCACCACACCTGGCCTGTTCAACACAACGACGCACGGCGGTAAGCATGGTTGCCACATGAAAGTGAGAAGAAGTGGGCACAGCATATCAACATGTGTATTGTTGTGTTGTACCTTCCGTGCACATACAGAGTCAACAAGGCAGAGATGGGCACCAAGTCACACACACACACACACACATATGTTTACATGCACAGCTAAAATTGTCATCATGTCATCATGTTGCACGCACAGCTGTTGTTGGATATCCAGAAGGTCCTGGTGGAGCGAGGCGGCCTCATACTCATACTGTGGAGCGTGCTGCCGTGTGTAGTTCAACACGCGCTGCGCCGCCAGCAAACCGTCACCAACGGCCTGCTCAGTCTGAAACGGCAAAAATAAAGAACAGCGCAATCACAAACACGGCAGAAGAAGAGAAGAAGGCGGTGCGCCACGCGCGACTGAACCCACACGCGCACACGCACACACACTCACTCACGCACACACAAATGGATATGCGGACGCATACATCAGTGCGGGAGGGCATGTGTGCCTACCTGGTCGATGGCTTGTTGTGACGGGTTTGGACGATCACACAGCAGGTAGTACTGCACGTACTCATCGCCCTCTGCAAACTGTGAAGAGGACAAGTACAGCAGAGAGGAAAGCAGGCAGGGTAGTGAAGGACAGCAACAAAGGTGCGTGGAGGTAATGACACGATGTCACCACACATGTCACCACAAACACTCTGTGGGTGCATGTGGGTGTGTGTGTTCACATCTCAACTGCACACACTGAACAACAACAACAACAACAACAACAACAACAACAACAACAACAGCAGCAGCAGCAGCAGCACATGGCTGCATGGGAGTACATGGTGAATGAGAAACGCGCTGGGCTGCATGCACATGTCCGAGATGCCAACAGTGGCCGCGCTCTCCGCGCCGACAACCGCCATCACAATGAGAAGGAGAAGGATGCCTGTAATATGTGTCGACAGGAGAGCGAAACGAAGCAGGAGATGGGATGGCGATACAGTGAACTGTCACAAACAAACAGCCGCGTCGCTGCAAACTGACTCAAGGACTGTTGCGTTTGCAACAGTGACTTGTCACTCCCCACTCACCACACACACACACACACACACACACACACACACACACACACACACACACACACACACACACACACACACACACACACACACACACACACACACACACACACACACACACACGCGCGCGCGCGCGCGCATTCGCCCCTACCCCCCCCCACTCTGTATGCACAACCCACTCAAAGCACTTACAGATGACGGTTGCTGATATGCGCTGGCAAAAGGTGCCGCAAACGAGGGCAGCCAAGGAGAGGGCCATGACCAGGACCATGAGGCCAATCAGCCCAAACTCGGCAATGGAGCGATACCGGTTGAAACGCTCCGCATCAGAGTAAAACGTGTCAAACTGCAGCACGCAACATGAGTGAATGCCGTGAGTGGAAGCGTCCTAAACCGACTGTTGAGGTGAAACAGACACGCATGTGCTGTGTACGCGCTGAGTGCGTACTGTTTACAGTTGCATGTGCATGAGAGTGTAGGCGTGCTGAGGTGCTGTGTTGACGCCGTGGTAGCGCATTGTAGCATCTCCCTCACCTCAAATGAAGGCACAGCCTGCACAACAGAAGACAGCAACGACTGCAGGCTGGTTGTATTTGTCACAACATCTTCAAGCGCCTGCTGCACACCCTGCCGTGCGTCGTCCTGTGCGTGTTTGTGTTCACGTGGGTTGAATTGTGAACACACACACAGGCATACACAGGCGTACACAGGCACACACAGACACACACACACACACGCAACACCCCCCTTCACACACACAGACACACAGACACACACAGCGCACACACACACATAGACATACAGACAGTTTAGCTGACCAGGTCGCCTTGGAGGTTGTGGGCGGTCACCAACGTGTCTGTGGCTTGTGTTCCCAGGTTGGTAACGCGCAGAAATGCAGCGTTGTATCGATTCACCAGCCTCTCCAAGCCGGCAACGGTGTTAGACACCATCCCGTTCATGGAAACATTCGGGTAGATGCACGCAGCCGCGGTAGCTCTGCATAGAGAGAAGACACGGGAAGAGGGTTGAAAGCGACCCAACACACGCAGATGCGGACCAAAAATGTGTACGCGTACGCGTGCATATGCATGGAATTGGCTGTGCGTTTCCCCTTGAAGCGAAATCGTGTTCACTAAGGATGGTGCCTGCAGGCACACGTGCATTGACAACCCACGAACGCGAGTGTCGTTGTATCACATTGTTTACATGCAACACGGGTTCGCTCGCAGGCTTCAACTCCTGGACTTACATGGCAACGAGTCCGCACGTGAGACACGCAATCTTGATGCGGCGACTTCGCTTCTGTGAGATGCCCTCGCTGTTGTTGCTGCTCTCGCTGCTGCTGCTGCTGTCATTGCTGTTGCGCCTGTAGGCGCGGCACATGCAAAATACGGCCCAGAGCGCGACGAGAAGAAACGCTACCACGAACAAGCCAGCAATGATCAACAAGGACGTGTAGTATTCTTGTTCGTCGGGGTCAAACGCGCCCTGTGTCGGCACATCCACGGAGGTCGCGTCTGCCTTCAGGTGTCTCCAAGAGTGGTAGAAACTCACGAGGCTGGACGGCGTCACGTCCCCACCAAAGGAGACAGCAGAGCGCAAAGCCGACAGCATCTGCAAAGCAAAGCTTGTGGACATGACGGAGGACGCGGGTGTTGGGGTTGTTGGCATTTCCCAGTCGAGTGGGGTCGGAGGTGCGGGCGGGGCGATGACAACCGGGTCCCACGGACTTGGCATCTTCCTTGTCTTGTTTGGCCTTAATGTTATTCAAAACGCGCGACGACACGGGGAAAAGAAAAGGTGCAACGCGCGCGCGCCTCTGATGTGGTCGTTGTGCTGAAGACAGGAATACAGGAACAAGGGAACAGGGACAGCACAAGAGAGAGGAGCAGCCGTATGCCAAGGAAAGCACGTTGAGTGGTTTGTGCTTGTGTTTGTGTTTGTGTTTGCCTTGATTTGTGTGACTTCATGCATGCGCAGGTGTTTTGCTTGAATACATATGTGGTTTTGTGGTTTGAATTGTGCATCACCGTGCGTTTGTGCTGTGCGCATCGCTATATCACTCCCCGAGCTTCCACCCTCCTACTCTCCTGTTCTCCTCCTCACCATGTCGCCGACACGGGTCAGCTTACCTGTCGTGCGGATGAAACACGGTAGAATGTGTTTGTCGACGAATACAGCCTGTCTGCACACAGTTGCATGAAGTGCCTGCTGTGTGAGGGATAGAGGAACAGAACCAACCGCTGCGATTGCACCTGTGAAAGAAATGGATGCGACACACAGGAAAGCAAGCGAGTAGGCAGCAAAGCTGGACACACACACACAGACACACACAGACGCAGACACACACACACACACACACACACACACACACACACAGACACACACAGACGCAGGCAGACGCACCCGGCTTGCCTTGCTTCCTTCCTTGTTTGCCTGCAGGCAAGCTCAAGAGTTTTGAGAAGGAGAGTCCCAGACGGAACAGGAGGAGCGCAGCAAAGCTTTGCCCCTCCCAGCAACACGCGCCCACCCGTTCGTTCTCCAGTGGCATTTTGCTGTGTCACACCTTGGGGTCGACGAAATTTAGTTAATGTTTTTATTTAATTTTCTACATGGCACATGTGGCGCGCATGTGCTTTTGCCTCATGATTCCGGGTGGGTCTTTTCCAGATTGAAGGTCAGGGCAACGTGTCATGTGTCACGTCACATGTCACACAGTAAATTATGTCACAACATGCCACTCAGGGTTGTTTATTGCTTAGCCTGCTTGGCGTTCACAAGGATGACAGGGTAGACATGGCATTGTGTCAATGATGGGATGGGAAACCACAGCAGAGACACACAAGCGAGCATGCGAGCTAGCAAGCAACAAGAACACCAATCAGGCGAGGTGGTGCAAAGTAATGTCATGTAACCCCCCCCCACACACAAAGGCACAGCAGCACAACAGAACAACAGCTGCGAGCCCGCAGACGCAGCGCCGGGTAATGCAGCATCATTTCATTCGTATGATTCATTGTCGACGTTGTCAGCGTCATCATCATCGACATAGTCGTCCCCGTAATCACCAGCATCCATTGCATCATCACCACCCTCCTCGTCGTTGTCGTCGTCGTCGTCATCATCATCATCAACCTCAATCAAGTCCACATCCCCAACCGCACGCCCGTTCTCGGCATCGCCCTCATCGTCATCCTCCTCATCCCCCTCGTCATCATCTTCCTCATCGTCAGGACGAACGCGCACGCGCACGGCTGCTGGCGTTCGTCTGTGTGGCTTGCGGCGGCGCTCGTGCTGGTGTTGGGCCTCGGCAACTTGCTCGTCAAAGGCGGAGGTTGGCGCGGATGCTTCACCTTGCGGCTGATGTCGTGGCCTCCCCTTGCCTCCTTCCTCCGTTCCCTTATGCACCGCAAACAGCGCCTCATCCACTCGCCGATGCTGTTCGAGAGAATGTGCGCGAATGTGTGTGTGTATACATGTGGGTGCAGGGGAACAGCAAGGAGATCAGCGGAACGGCCGGGGGCCAACATAGTGTGTGTGTGTATGTGTGTGTGTGTGTGTGTGTGTGTGTGTGTGCGTGTGTGTGTGCATCATGAAGTGCACGCGTCCACATGCGTGATTGTTGCTGTTGTCCTGTGTGAGCAGAGCGCGTTAGTAAGCAAGCACACCAGAGCCACCACTAGCACCAGCACCAGCATTTCCGAGCCGTTGCATACCTGTGAAGCACATGCCTCCAGCCACTTGAGGTAGACTACGTGGACACCGCCCATCTTGCGGGCCTGTCGGACCTTGTCTGTGCCGTCGACGCGTGCAACCACATGCGTCACACGCTCGTCCACCTGGTTGCGGCGGTGGAACACACACGTGAGCTCGACAGCTGCTTGCGCAGACGGCTTTGGGGAGGCACTGATACATGACGCAGAAGGAAAAAGGGGCGGAGGAGAGAGAGAGGGAGAAGCAGGGGGAGCAGAAACACACATGGGCACCTCCACACCCACAACTAACACAGAACACGCAACACGTGCAAAACACACGTGCACATGTACATGAACCTGGTCAACGACGACGGCGCCCATGTTGACGGCCATTCGCCAGGCGGGGTGCGTGTAGGCGCTCTGCCCACGCGGTATCACGCCCGTGAACACGATTCTCACGCCTTCCAAGATCCTGAAATGACAGCCAGGAATGCGCATTTAGCTGGGGAAGAACCAGCACACCCACCAACACACACACGCACACACACGCACGCACACACACACACACACGCACGCACACACACGCACACACACGCACGCACGCACGCACACACACACACACACACACACACATAAACGGGTGCAAAGTTGCACCATGTACCATGGCGGGTAGTGTGGGAACTTGCGGTGAAGGCGAGGGAGAATTGCCTTTGTGCTGGGCGCAACACCATCCTGAGCCAATACACATCAAGGGGCAACATCACGAAAGCAAGAAGGGTGAGGTGACTACAGGTAGACGGTTGGTCGGGAGAGGGACGAGGATGTCGCAGCACACGCCAACAATTAAAAAATGATGCACACACACAACATGCATGCACGCCACCCCCACCCACACCCACACCCACACACACACGCTCACCCGGTCGTAGGCGTGGAAGAAGGAGGTGCAGATCTCCTTGCAGATGTCTGTGACGGTCTTCAAGTGCGCATCTGTGTCCTCGTGGGGGCGAAGACGCGGCTGCCGCTGCACGCGCCACTCCGGCCCGCCGAGCTTCGATGCCAGGCGGGACAGCACCGCATGGTCGTCGCTCTCCTGATGTGTGTGTGTGTGTGTGCGTGTGTGTGAGGGTGTATGGCAGGAAGGGGGAAGGGTATGACGTGGATACGGCGCAGTGACAGCAAGAAGCGCGGCAGTGGCTGGAAATCAAAGGGAATGCGGTGAACAGGCCCGTGCACGGTGTGGCAAGGAAAAAGGCAGCCAACTTCAAAAAAACAAGCACGCACACCTGTCCCTCCACCAACATGTCGTCACCAACACCACATCGCAATGTAGCAGCGGTGACTCACGTCCTTCCATGGCCCAACAGGTGTGAGCTGGCGGGCCATACGGAGGAGGAGACATGCCTCCGTCAGCTCCACACACCGCAGCCGGCTCAGCAGCACCTCCTCTACAAACCAGATGGACATTGGTGAGAGGAGACGGGGGGGGGGGGAAGGGGAGATGAGGGGGCCGGGGAGCCTCGGTGAGGTTCGGGCGGTGATGGAAAGCAGGTCACATACCGCGACGCAACGAGGCAAAGCGTGCACAGAGAAGCAAGTGCACATACACGTGGAATAAGCGTCGTACACACACAGACACACGCACACAGACAGAGACAGAGAGACAGACAGAGAGAGAGAGAGAGACAGACAGACAGACACACACACACACACACACAGACAGACAGACACAAGCACACGCACGCACCGATGCCCTTTGCGCCGAGGGTTCGAACAATGTTTGCAATCCACCGGCCCATGTGGATGCGATACCCGCCCTTGTCAACCCGCTCAATTCGTGCCAGACATGAAATCTGCCGCAGGAGATGGAGACGCAGGCGCTCCAAGTGGCACGGCGCACCATCTTCGCCATAATCGCCATCAATGGGCAGTGCAAACAGAACAAGCTCAAAGGTGCAGCCTGCAGGGGCACGCGGTGACGGTGCAGCCTGCCGCGCCTCTGTTGTACGCAATGCAGCAGGCATAGGTGGTGACAATGTCTGGGCACTCGTGGCAGCGCTGCTGTGGTGTTGCTGTTGCTGTTGCTGTTGCTGCTTGTCCTCTCGTTCACCCGTGCCTGTATCTTGTCCACCATGACCGGTACCTTCTGCTGGTGTGTGCTTTGCCTGCTTCGACGGTGGCTGGCTCTCATCTCCACGCTCCCGCGCATCACGATGACTGCCCACACCACCACCTGCTGAGGAAGAGCTCGTGACGGCAGACGGTGCCCAATGCTGCTGTTGTTGTTGATGCTGCTGAGCACGGTGGCGTGGCCGCCTGCGCTTGTACTTTGGCGCACCGCCACCGCCACCACCACCGCTGGTGCTTGCGGCTGACGATGATGCAGCAGCTGTTGGTGTTGGCGCTGCACCCTGTGCACCGCCACCGCCGGACTGTCCGTCCGCCTTCACGGGCAGCAGGCGGAACACGCAGTGCAGACCGCGAAACGCGGCGTGCACGAGCGAGATGGCCGCTCGCAGCTCCTGCGAAATCAAATCCTGCGCATGTGCATCGGGATCGCGCGGAGCTGTCAAGACACATGTGTACATGTGTGTGCGTGCGTGTGTGTGTGTGTGTGTGTGCGTGTGCGTCAGTACGTGAAAGTGTGTTGATGTGTGTGAGTGTGTGTGCGTGTGTGTGAGTGTGTGTGTGTGTGTGCGAGTGCGTGTGCGTGTGTGAAAATATCGGCGTGCGCCTTTGAGCCTTTGAAAGTGAGCAAAATGTCACCCATATAATCGCAACACACGCAACAAACTGCCACCAGCACGTTGCTGCTGCTCACCTTGATCATTCTTCCTCGCCGTCTCTGCGGTGGCAACGGCGTCTCTGTTCCACATCTCAATCAGCTGTGGTGGCGGCGGCGATTGTGGTGTCAGTGATGATGTTGGGTCAGGTAAGAGTGGCACTACATACAACAGTGTTTCGAAAGGCTACCCTCCCCTCCTCCTCCTCCTCACAACCACCACCACTGACCGTGCACAAGCGCTGCGTGATGCCCAATCCCTTGCACGTCGCCTGCATGTCTTCGATAGCCGTTGCCGACTGCCACTCGTAACGCTCGCGTGCATCCAAACACAGCGCGTACGCAAGCGCATCCCCCGTCGTCTTTGTATTTGCATGGGACATTGCAATATGAGCATCAGCGCGGGCGCGGGTATGTGTGTGTGTGTGTGTGTGCAAGTGTGTGTGTGTGTGCGTGCAAGTGTGTACGCACACAAAGATGTGCATGAGAGTGTGTAACTATATCACAGACCTGGTCAAACCCTGCGCCAGTGAATTCGTGGGCGAGGTCGCTCGGAAATGCAATCTGATTGGAGTATTTCGTCCTGCCACAGACAGTCCACAGATGTGTGTGTGTGTGTGTGTGTGTGTGTGTGTGTGTGTGTGTGTGTGTGTGACAAGACGTGCATGTGTACAATACAGAGAGCCATCGGAGCGGGTGGATGAGGCAAGTGCCAGGTCATAGGAGGTGACCCTTAGGTAAGAAGCACGTAGGCGCAATTGCATGAAGCACGTGCGTGCTCAAACCTTCGATGCGCTGCGTGCAGTTTTGCTGTTGTCGCTTTCGCCTCCGCCCTGCCGTCGGTGTCAGTGTGTGTGTGCGTGTGTGTGAGTGTGAGTGAGTGTGCCTCCGTTTTGTGTGTTGAGCGTGAGCTGGTATGCTTGCGTATCCAGATGCTGGTGGCTGTACATTTGGGAGACGTTGACGTTGACTTCGTCGAGCATTTGGAAGTAATCGTATGGCGCAGCCTGTTAACACACGCAGGGGGCGATGAAGCGGCAGCAATGTGATGATGGTGGCACTGAATATGGCCTACGTACTTGTCGTTCAGCAGGAAGAAACGAGTAACAACACATACACACTAAGCACACACGCATACGCACTCAGCACAAACAACGCACACAACGCTCACAAACACACAGCAAGTAATGCAAGCAGGGCTGTGCGTGCGCGCGTGCACTCACGGGGATGAGGTTTGGGCGGAAGTCCCACATTGCGGCGGTGTCGTCCAAGATGACTACCATGTCATCGCCGCGCGGGAACAGGTGGTTCAGATTCTGAACGCGCAGAGGGAACCACAACCAGAAGGAAACAAGAGACAGAGAGAAAGGGGAGGGGGGGGGGGCAAAGGGGCCACACATACGCATACACACGTGTGCGTGTGTGTATGCGTGTGTGCGAGAAGAGCGTGAGGTGCGAGTGCATGTTTGTGTTCGTCTACACGTGTGCACAACCAACGCCATATTACATAGTGCACATGATGTAATGAGACGTACGATGCTCTTGGTGTCGATACGGGCGCTCTCGTCCTGTGTGAGGATGCGTGTGGAGAAGTAGTGTGCGCCAGGATCAATGATGCTGACGTGTCGCGTGGTGACGAGAAGGGGGGGGGGAGAGGGAGGGACAATGCATACGTAATCGATGTCGGTGAGAACGGTTGCAGGCCACACGTGAACACACGCACGCGCGTGCACACACACACACACACACACATACACGAACGAACGCACACACACACACACACATTTACAGATACACACACACACATACACGCAGACACATGTCCACGAACGCACACATCTCAACAGGTGTTGGAGCTCACTTGCAGATCTCCTTTGCATATGCGCGTGTGCCCATGGTGTACACATGCAGCTCATACATGTCCTTTACGGCCTCCAGGAACTCTGCACAGATGTGAATGTGTGGGTGTCATTGTGCATGTGTTGGAGGTCGCAGGGGCAAGCGCGTCCTTAATCAGCACCTCCACATTAAGTGCACTTGCTGTGTCGCAATCACACACACAGCCACACACACACAGCCACACACACAGCCATACACAGAGACACACACACACACACACACACAGACAGATAGACACACACACAGACACGCACACGCACGCACTCCCCAGCACCACAGCCAACCTTTGACGCCCGGCCTGATCTTGGTATAGTAGAAGCGCGGGTCGCCGCCGATCTGGAACTGAACAGCGAGGAAGGTGTCAGAGTTGAGGTGTGAGTTGTTGCGAGGGCTGCAAGTTGCAAGTTATGCGGGGTTGACGTGTAACGCCAGGCAGCAGAAGTCAGACACTGTGCGATGCTTGTGCACACAACTGACAAAGTGGATGTCGTCGCAGCCGTTTCTGATCCAGTTCTGCACCACGCGATTGGCTGCACGCACGCGGGGCAGGGAAGAGTACACGTTTGGAACACGAAGAGCGATGTAGACGACAGTTCAGGGTTGGTTGGGCGGTCGGGGATGTCAAGGGGGCAAGTGAAAGGCAAGGGGGCAGGGAACAACGCGAACAAACAGGCAGACACAGACAGACACAGACACAAAGACACACACACACACACACGCATACTCGCACACAGACACACGTGTGTGTGTGTGTGTGTGTGTGTGTGTGTGTGTGTGTGTGTGTGTGTGTGTGTGTGTGTGTGTGTGCGTGCGTGTGTGTGTGTGTGTGCGTGTGTGTACGCTCATGCGTCCGCAACTACCATCATGCTTGAGAACGCACACGAGTACGTACTCACTCATGTGCTCATGCATACATACGCACACACACACTCATACCCACACACATACAAACACACACGCACACATACACACTTGCTGGTGTAAACACGCAGGGTTGTCGCGCTATGGGCTGTTTGATGTGTGTGAGGAGAGCTTGTACGGTGCGGGTCGCCGCGACAATTGCGAATCACGGGTTCTGTCAACGGAATGGGCAGTGGCAGCTGCGCTGCTTGTGTTTGGCCTCCTCATCCTGCTCTTGGCCATCACCAGTACGGCATATGCCCTCGTGCGACGGGACTTTTTGAACCGCGCCAAGTGGCAGGCCTTCTTCTCGGGTACGCAAGCATGCGTGAGACGTGTGTGCACGCTCGCGCACGCGTGTCTGTCTGTTTGTCTGTCTGAGTATCTGCCTGAGTATCTGCCTGCCTGCATGCCTGCCTGCGTGTCTGCGTGTCTGCCTGTTTGTCTGCGTGTCTGTCTGTGCGTCCACTTGTATCCAAGTGGCTATCCTTCCACGTTTGTAAATTCAACGTGCTGCACCTTCTTAACCCGTCCTCCCATCCTCACCCTCATGCCCCACGTTCCTCCAACCATTTTTGCCTTGCGCAGCGATATTGATGGCGCTGACATCAATCGTGTTCCCCATTGGCTTTGACGTTGAGCGCATCGGGGGAGAGGTAAGCTGCGTCAGCTCTGTGTGTGCGTGTGTGCGTGTGTGCGTGCGTGCGTGTGTGTGTGTGCGTGCGTGCGTGCGTGTGTGTGTGTCGTATTTCGTGTAGAGTAGACCGTACCGTGTCCTGCCTCCCCTTTCTCGACCCTGTAT